GTTTTGGTTTAAAAATACAAAAAGCTATAAATTATGTACATCAGCTGAAGAACAAATTAATTACCTTTATGGTGACGTCATTAGCTTTTTAATCGGTTATGAAGTTCATAAGATATTAATATTTAAAATATTTAAAAACTGAACTTTAACCTTATAGAACCTCTTCATTTTTTACTTACGCCAAATCATTTTGGCATGGTTGAAATAAGCATAAAAAGTTCTATTGATCTGCATTTTTCGTTTTTGCATAGCTGAACGGTCGGTATTCTAGATTTGTTCCCGGAAATGACGAATAACTTAAATCAAAAATGGATATTTTTATGTATTGTTTAGTATTTGCAATAAAACACCAAATATATTGCAAATTCACATAGAATTAATTATACACATTTTACTTCTAATTGTATACTTTGCGCACTTTTTTAGTACCTTTCTACTACCGTTTTCGCAAAATGCGATCACATTCTTCCCCTTTCTCCTACTACCAAAATACAAATCTAGATAAAGGAGTGTCAAATTTTAGCTGTCACAAATTACACAACCTTGTATTATTGAATCATGGATTTGTACCATGTTTAAAGACAACCAAATTTTCTTTTGTCACCTGTGTACTTTTTATGACGTTCTTTGCGTGTTTGTTTGAAAATAAAAAACAAATTCGGCTTTAAATTCTACTCTTCTTTTCTGTTTCTATTTTAAAAGCAAACGCAGGAGCTATCAAATATTTGTGTTGCATGTAGCGACGAGTCGAACTTTTACAGCATGCTACCAATTAATGTGGAGCAACAGTCATCACGAAGCGCCTTCACACAGGTCTCTTCTGCTCAGGCGTCATGCAATCAGGTGAGAGAGAATGGCTTGTGGTTATATATATCCATTTACTAATATTCAATGGCAATATTTATGAATAGTTACCATTCCTTGCTGAAGACTATTCATATGATTCACTGAGTAATGTCGGTCAACTGGAGCAACAAAAATTAAAAGCTCTGGAGGCTGAACTAAACGAGCTTTTTCAAGTTACAAAGGACTATAAGAGCCAAAATCTGGAGTATCATCGAAAGAGGCTTTCAGATATTTTTCAAAAAGCGGTCAAAGCATATAAAACATTACTCAAATTTTTACTGAAATTGTCTCTTAATTAGGAGGTCGAAAAAGCGGAAGCATATAGAAAGTTGGATTTTATCCGTAAACAACTTGTTAACCTTGAAGTTTCAAGCGCTAAACCTGCAAAATATTTTACGAATGATTCTGACTCTGGTTTCAGTTCAAAATGTGATAGTGATCAAGATGCAAAGATTTTAAATGCTTTACGGGACCGCTTACACCGACTGAATGACGAAATATTCGACTTGAAAAATTGTGCACAAAGACTTAGAATCGAAAAGAATGGTACGTAGTAAATAATTGAGTTATAAATAATTGAGTTTAGAGATCGTCAAATTGCAGAGCTTTCCACGTGCTTGAAAACAGAAAAGGACTTTGCGCAACGAAATAGGGATACATTAAAGGATCTGGCTAATATGCTTTGTGAAATGGTAAGTCTCTAAGAAATTGCTATAACTTGCTTACATGTATATATCGTCACCTGAAATGAGAAAAGACGAAACAACATCATCGCTGAAATGCAAAATGTCATAACTAGTAAAAAATTCAAAATTCACTTTTTGATTTATATGATGGATTTAATCGAATTACAACTCCCCACATCATTTAATAAAAAAAAATAAAAATATTACGCCTATTTCGTTTCTACCAAAAAATGCAACCTTCTCTTTGCCCTCTACGCACAAACACTAAGAAGAGGGCGATGAGAAGGCAAAATTTTTTTGTAGAAACGAAATCGCCATTAGTCACGACTTTTTCCATTTCTGTTGCGATGGGAGAACTCTACAATTGTTTTTAACGTCTTTTTGCATTTCAGGTGACGATATGAATGTATGTATATGATATTTACTAGAAATTTAAAAGGCAAACTTTCCTATATATATATGGGCGATGGTTAAAGGCATATATGTAATATTTCTATATTCACAGTAAGCTAACTTCTCAATGTGTACCCAATTTGCCAAACGACGTCGTTTCCGACTCGTTCTGGTGAACAATTTGTCGCCAAAACGACTAACTGGCGGGTCGCACAAACGATATACCAGATAATTGCAAAACGATGCTCAAAATTTATAGCAGATTTAAAGTCATTATACTAAAATTTAGTAATCTATAAAACTGCATACTCCAAATTTTTATAAAAACTAAAAACAAAAAAAAATACTTTAGGTAACATTTTTTTTATAACATTTCAAATTATTACTTTTTATTTTTTTTTGTTTTGGGAGAACCCTACAATTCTTTTTAACAAGTCCGTCTGTCCGTCTGTCCGTGTACACGATAACTCGAGCAAAAATTGAGATATCTCAACGAAATTTGGTATGTAGGTTTCCCTTAATCCAAGATAGGTTGGTATTGAAAATGGGCGAAATCGGACTTTAACCACGCCCACTTCCCATATAACGGTAATTTCCAGAAATACGAAAACTGCGATATTTTAGTAACTACTGAAGATAATTCACTCAAAATTGATATTTACAATAATTTTTAGACGAAAAATAAGAATATTATAAATTTTTGGAAAATGGGCGTAGCCACGCCCACTTATGGTTACATGTGTATATCTTGGTAACCGCTGCACCAATTTCTTCCAAACTATGTTACAGCATACCAAATGACCGAAAATTAAATCGGACAATAACCACGCCCACATCCCATATAACGGTAATTTAGAGAAATACAAAATCTTCGATAAATCATTAAATATTGAAGCTAATTTATTCAAAATTGATGCTTGCAAGAAATACGTTTATGGTAAAATTTTGGAAAATGGGAGTGGCACCGCCCACTTATGATCACATATAAGTATATCGGTAACCATTCTACCAATTTGTACCAAACTCGGTATGGTTATTGTACTTGCCGCGTGTAAGCAAAACGTTGAAAATTATTGAAATCGGACTCATATAACGGTAAATTTAAGAAATGCTTGAAACTTCAATATTTCGAAATTGAAGGACGCTAATTTACTCAAAATTGATACACCTCGGCTTACCATCTAGCGGAAGGTTTCGGAAGGGTGAAAAAACATATATTTAATACTTGCGCCGGGTATTTAATGTTCGGCTCCGCCCGAACTTAGACTTTCTTACTTGTTAGTTTTCTTTTTCTTTTTTGTAGGCATGAGAGAAAGTTTCGCTTTCATTTTGAAGAATAAACAATTCCAAAAAAAGTGGTCCAAAAGAAGAAATTAACAAAACCATACTATAAATTCTCTTAAATATTTTACATTGCATTTAGAACAACCACTACGAAAGATTAAGACTTTACTTTGCTATCCTCAAGTTCGTAATTCTTAGAATTAATTTGATAAAACGTCATTGTGCCTTAGATTGCACCCTAAACGCTCCACCTTTGCAATTATTGTAATGCTTTTTTTTAATATATTGAAACCATAAAAGCCTAAAGTTCCCCGCATTTGATAACATCTTAACTCTTTTATTAATTTTATTCGCCCACACAGTCTTGTGTCACGGATTTCTTCAAATATCGTATATCGCTGGCTTAGAGTGGAAAGTTGTTAAGTCCCAATTTAAGAATTGAACAGGAGAGGCAAAAAAAATTCTTATAGCCATTTTCTTTAAGTATTTGGCAAAACTTTGAATACAAAATTCTGCCTGTTTAAAGCAAAGCAAAACTCCATATAAATCATAGGGATTGGGTCTTTATTAAAAGATTTCGTGTTATTTTGGCCTTATCGAATTTTCGGAGCTTTGTTTGCACTTAGCAAATTTTCGTTTCATTGAATATAAACGAGAACACATAAAACAAGGACCTTTACCCTTTTCGAAAATATGCATTTTTAATTTCTCTAGCCTCCTGTATCAAAATATGAGTTTTCATAAAAAGTGGACTTAGCAACTTTTCACTCTAAGCTAGCGATATTCTGTAGTTCAGACAATACCTATTTGACCCATATTCGCTTTTTGATTTCTGAAGATACAGTTCCGAACAGAAGTACTGGCACAGTGAATTTTTCGCAATATATGCAAAGTTTTTTGTTCTAATTTATTTTCATTGTTTTTGTTATTTTATGGCCTTATAACAATTATATTCAACAATTTTTAATGAGCTTGAGGCCGTTTTTAATGAAAAACTTATTGTGGAAAAGCAACAATAATGTGAAAAAATTGTAGAAGTGATAGCTATTTCGGAAATCACCACATTTCCTCATCAGACTTCTTTCAGTAGGCTTCGAACCGACGATCCCACTGACTCAGCCAGTTGCCTATGCACTGTGCTAAGTTCGCCTTGTAAATTATCGTTGCTTTTTTCTCACTTTTTCATTTGTTATGCCAACAAAATCAAGCGCAGCTATTCCGCTGTAATTCACTTGATCATGTGGTGGTTGGTTTTGTTGGTTTTTGCTAATAATTCTATTTTTAGAATGTTTAACTTTTAGGTGTGCTCGTCCTTAAGTTATTTGTTTTTGTTATTTTATGGCCTTATAAAAATTATATTCCACAATTCTTAT